TGTACTGTAACGCGGAAAATATCGAGTTGTGAGTTCACTCGTTGAGCAGTTTGTAGCTGTATCCAAATGTGGCTTGGAGTCATCCATTGATACGTCTGTACGTACGCGTGCTGTGCACTTTCACCACATCGAGGATAAGCGGCAGCTTTTTACTTGCTGTGTATAGTCTGAAGGAAAACAACCTAAAGTCGGGAATGGCTAAGCCGCGGCACAAGCATCGCGTCGTTGCGACAGGATGGATTACGATGACTTGACCCCATTTCAACGCTCTGCTTCCTCAAGACCTCCGCCTGCCAAAGAAGTAGGACAAATGAGGAGAAAACGCAAAACCACATATGTGCTCTTCTGGAGTGCAGTAGTGACTCTCGATTGTTTGAGGCCATCTATTGCCGGAATACACCTACGTAGGCGGACTGCTGTGAGCGGGGCTAGTTAGCGGTGAAACCGTCTTTCAAAACGCGCAGCTTATTCTGGCTACGCAATGACAACGACTTCTCACCATCAGCTTTGTGCTCGCGTGAACATGCTCCAATGATATTGCTTTCCTTGAAAAGGACGCAGTGTCTAGGACACCAGATAATCGATTTGAGCTTTGAAAACCAACTTGCATCAAAATGGACGTGCCTCAGCTTACACCTAACGCCAGAGCCGACAATCTCACTGCAAGGCTCGTCGCAATCATCATACACGAGATGACTATATGCATCTCACGCTGGCGCGAGTATGCCGCCTCGAAAGATGCCCAGCTTCAGCAACTTTACCGAGAGAACCAACAAGACAAGGCACGCATCGAAGCGCAATGTCAGACCATTCACGCGCAAGACGAGCGTATCAGACGCTTGGAGCTCGAGATGTTTCCTATCGAGATGTCTCCCATGGAGCTGTCGTGCGGTACCGTGTCGCCGGCGGCGTTTTCAATGTCGCTACAAGGCTCGGAGACACCCAACTCCGTTGTAGACTTGCAGGCAGGCCTTGTGGACGAAACGTTCGGGGATGCCCTGAAGGAGACGTATGGTCAGGCATCCGACGATGGGAACGCAAGCATTAGGGACGACGTTTTCGCTCCGCTGCTGGCGTTGGCAATGACCGCAGCAGAGGACACGACCGGACGGGCTGCTGAGGCGAGGGAGTCGCCACAGACCGAGAGCAAAAGCCCGATGAAGAGGCGTATGGAAGAGGAAGATGCTGCTTCGAAACGGGTGCGTCATACGTGACTGGAGAACCTTGAAACACCCATAGTTCCTCTCGATAGTCCCATAGGTTTTGGTGATAATTAACAAGAACTTGGCAATTCAGAACAGCGACAGGTCATCGCAAGACGGACCAAAAAACGAACACAAGTGCATCAAAGAATACACACAAAGTGCCCTGAGCAATCGAATCGCGCTAGTCGTGGCATTTTGTGGAAGGTGGCCAGAGATCTGGTGAGTGTGCCGAAAAAGGGCGCGGTTTGAGCTCACAGCTGCACCTGTCTATGGGTAAGACTCACTCATAGGCTTGTCCGATTCAGCCGAATGACTTCAACCATCTCGGACGGTAAGAACCTGCTGTGTCCATATCAGTTCAAGATCGAATCAAAGCATCATCTTTGAATACTGTACAGCCATGGGAGTTCCCTTACGGTTTTTTGCGGTCAAAAGCGAACGTCCCATCTATGCATGCTTCGACATGGAAGTGATCGATTACTACCTTCACAACGGTTCGAGCCACTACACATCCTTCAGACTTGGCTAGGCTTTGTAGAATGTATCCCAATATTCCCTCACGAGGCTTTTTGCATTCTCCAGATTGGCTTCCGGCTCCATGGTCGTTTCCCACTGGATCTTGTAGTAAGCCAGGCCGTCCACCTTTTTTCTCCCGATGACCCTTCCCGACCAATGCTCCAGAGTGGGGTCAAACTGATTCGACGGTCTTCTTCTGGATTCAGGATAGCCGTGGCAAGTGTTCCAAGCAATGACTTCGGGTAGCATGTGTTGAAGTTTATCTTCGGGTTCCCAGGTTGGTTTCCAAACCACGTGGTAGTAGATTGCATCACGAACAACGCTATGTCTTTGGATACGTTGCACTTGCCACTCGGTAATGGATGCGTCATCATCGCTGCTGCTTTTGTCGACTGATTGTCTTTCCATGGTGGATGCTGTTTGGATCCGTGAACGGGTGGTCGGTGTATCCAGAAAGTGAAACGTAATTGTGACTTGAAAGACGGGTAGTGAAAGATGGGTTGGCGTTGCAGTTCGAAGAGAATGTGGCTTTTCTTGTAGGAAGTACTGTACTGGCCATGTTTGAACGTGCAGAAATGTTCTAATGTGCTCCTTGAAGTTCACGTGGCTGCAGTGATTGATCCTCTCCCAGACGAGCCATGAAGCCAAGGTGCTTGATGACAAGGGCGAGCGAGTAGGTACCAGCTCACGACCCATAAAGCTCCGAAAACAGACGCACACAACGCACAATTGGGATAGGAAGGTACACTTCCGGCCGAAATCAGTTTCTGGTTCATAATCTAGAGTTCCTTTTGGCGCAGCCAGTTATGGCTGCATTTTCTGACATCGTACATGAAGGTCAGTATGCAGTACAGTACTGTACTCACTAGAGGCTGACACCGGTTCTCTGGGAAAACCAGAAACCACCAAGGAACCGCCCTGCTTTCTGAGTTGGATTATGCCAGGAGCCAATTGTTGCTTTCTGTAGTTGTTTTGTCAACCACGTAGCAAACGGTTCTGTGTATCGCCATACACCCAGTTAGCGAGAGGACCCACAAGCCACGGTGATGAATTCTATCCCAATATTGAAAAAGCGGGAGCCGATTCCATACCCGGTTGCACACTGTACAGCCGCAAACAGCACAGTATCCGATTCCTTGAATATGTTCCACGCGGCTCGTTGGCGTCGCGACCGAAGTGGATGTCCGGTTCCTGATCCCAAGCTCTTGCAACACAGCCATTTCTGGTTGTGGCAGGGGTTCTACGTTTGTAACGTTTCTGTCCAACAGGCAGATTCATAAACAGCTGCGACAGATCCAATCCCAAAACTTCAAAACCAGAGTCCGATGCTGGTCGCGGTATGCTCACAACTAACCATCTTCATTACTGTCATCTTCTTCACCACCATCACCCGACCGCATGATGACCAAGCGACAGGTTTGACGGCGCCTGCTTGGGTGCAAGCTCCTGTAAGATACTCAGTCGATCGATGAGCTCGTGGTCTCCTAAGCGTGCGTAGTTTGGGTGGCATCCGATGCAACCAGAGCATCTCATACCCTCTCGTATCTGGCAGATCATGCCGCTCAAATCCAGAGGTGAGTAGGACTATATACACAAAAGAGTTAGAGCACACGCGCACGTGGCTGGCACTCAATAAAGGTTACATAGAGTACGTTAACTTCCTCTCTCCACACAAAACTGCGCGGTGACTCTTTAGTGCCTGAAAGGAAGGCCCACGGTAGAACGTGAACTGAGATATCATTGTACGCTAGTAGACAGCAAGAGAGGCTACGGGTTCCTCAAATGGCGCTTCGGGAATACCTCCGACATTTTCCGCGTGTACGACAACCCACACAACGTCGATTTGAGATCTGATTTCCTCCGATATCTTCTGCTCGAAGCCGAAGGTGGGGCCTACACTGAGACCAACACTATCTCCCTCAAACCCATTGACTCATGGACTCCATCCCATCTGCGAGACAACACCCGCCTGGTCATAGGCACCGAGTATGACCAGCGTGATGGTAGGCCATGGGAAGTCTTACGTCGTCCGTTACATTTGCCCAGTGGACGATTGCCTCAGCACCTGGACATCCCATGCTTCGTAAGATGGCAGCTCGCGTAGTTGTATCCGCGAACGATCTAGCGCGCCAGTAAGGGGGCCGGGAGATCAAGTTCAAGCCCACGAGCTTCGAGTTTCTGAACCCCACCGGTCCTGCAGCATGGACAGATGGGGTGTTTGAGTGTTTGCAATCCATCAATCCAGATCTGGCGGTTCAACGTCGCATATCTGAGGATGTTTCACAAACAGCGCTTTGAGTAGTCGGAAAGTACTGCCGGCTAGCATCATGTTCGCCATCATATGAACTCCAACAATGTCTAGGACATGGTCTCCCTTCGGCGACAATGAAGACACCGGAGATGAGGCTCTTGCTCAACCATGAAATACGATGGTTATCAGGCAATAGCCTCCGGCATATCATGTTCTACATTCCGCGACAACCAACCAGCTGAAGGTCAGATCTGTCAACGACATGAGTCCGGCAATCGTCATATATATATACCAGCAACAAGGGATTCACTGCGCTGAATGTCGCATGCAAGAATGAAAGTCACGACGCAAGTCAAACATCTTGTATCGGGGATAAGGAAGCCCTGCGGCAGAGTCGGGTCAATTGGGGTGCGCCAACTGGTCATGATCAGGAAAGCCTACTGGTCCTGCTTGGAACGGATGGCCCCACATTTGACCGAGATACCAGCCCGGGCGCCGATGAGAACCGGCGCCGAGCTTCGGAGCTCAGCCAATTGACACACACGGAGGCTGCGCCACTGAATCGCGTGTTCAATCCATGCTCACTTTGCGGCGGCGAGACGGGATATTGACACCATAGCCATGAGTGTCTTTGCTATTCTATGTTCAGCAGGAAATCAGTGTCACAAGACGACCAATTCCGTCGCGAGAATGAACCGATGTTCCTGATTGGGCCGTGCCCCTTCCCCCACACCAAACGCCGAGCTTCGCTCCAAAAAGCAGCCCATTTTTGGGGATGCGCCAGATCCCTGTTAGCAGAAGGCCTAGTTGGACAGCTGCTCAAAACGATAAATAGCATCGCTAGCCGCCTACTTCTGTCGTTTGCATCCAACGCCCTGTATATGACGCTTCCCATACTCTCACGCACGAAACACAGATTCTCCCCTACAATGCAAATCACTCATCTCCTTTCCGGCCTGGGTAAGCCATGCCCATATGCCCAAAAACTCAATGTGTTGACAACTACGTCCAACGCTCCGATAGCCGAGATGAACTGTTCAGAGGAATTCAATTGCCCTACCCCTGAGTCTGAAGCTACCATCATCGTCGGGAGGATGTACTGCCAGGTATGATACGTTGTTTAATGCACGTCATATCGATGCTAATTTGTTGACAGTCGCTAACGAGACCGAGGAGAGTATCACAAAAGCCACGGTTACTCCCGGTGCGATGTGTGGACTCGCTCTTGGAAATGTAGCAACAGCTGTCACAGCTGACTTGCAGACCGATTACTTCGTTATTGAGGAGATACGTGGGCATCGTCGTGACTCCACCTCTCCCACTCTTTTCAAGCTCAGAGTCCGTTGGGAGGGAGGCGAAGAGACCTGGGAGCCAGAGACCGATCTCCAGATTGATGCGCCGCTGGCCTTGTTCGCTTACTGGGACAGTCTGTGGGGCGGGCGGGCAAGTGCAATGGTGGACAAGGAGCTATGGCATGTTTTCAAAGTCGTGTCCCACGAGACAAAGCCCGATGGCAACGTCTACTTGCAGGTCGCCTGGGTGGGATCTCCTGATACATCGTGGGAGCCAGAAGGGAATATTCGTAAAGCTGCCGGCAGACTTGTGGAAAACTATTGGCGATCTGTCGGCGGCCGCTCGGGGACAATGACTAGACCGGACGAGGCTGAGTCTTTTGTTGAGGACGCGACTGGGGTGACGAACAAGAGGCGTAAGCTGGTATAGCTACGCCATTGCCAGGTCGATATAGCTTTCCCGGGCGATGGAAGAAAAGGAAGGCGTTCACACACCTAGGAGCCGCCGAAAGGCGATACGACCAGCCTGAGATTAAGGTTCGAGGGGCCGGGTTCTTGCGTCGGCTTTCTGTTTCCGTAACGCATTTCTCTTAGGAAAATAGCAGCACTGGGTTTTTTGACGTTGAGCATAAATGAAGCAACATTAATTTCACTTACCTGCACCTCCTTGATCTCGGAGTTTGTGGATGTGACGTACATAAGCGATGTCCATCGAAGCCTGCCACGGCCTTGCCGATTGTGTGGTACACGTATAGCGTGACAAGGTCACTACGTGTGTGATGAACTGGGTTCCTATCAAAACGATGCTCTAGGGCAGCTGCTACCGCTGCTAGATGATGAATACCGTTGACGGCGTGTCCGTTGATGTTAACCACAAAAATCAATGCCAGTGTGGCCGCACGGCATGCACGAGCACAGCATTGCAAGAAGAATAGTGGCTGTGGACATATATAAACCCATTCTTAAGACAAAGTCCATCAGGCTAGCTGAAGTGTTAGCAAGCGTATGTACACCACGATCACTCTTGAGTCACTTCACATATCAACATTCACTCCATAGGCCTCTGAAGCATGCTTCCATCAGAAGCAGTCTTTATCCAAGAACACGTGACGATCGTCAACAAGACTAAACTGGATATTCCTCCCAGACTGGATGATCGGGATAACGTTTGGATCTTTGCTGGTTTGACGCCAAGTGACGAGGATCGGAGTAAGCTGAGTTCGAGCCGTACAGGATACGCCTTGTGTTTATGGGCTGCTAGCTCGGGCCATGCTGTGCCAACTGCTGCCTGCTGGATGAGCATGCCACATACAGTAGGGCTGGCGATCTTCATCGACATCCGCCTCAGAGATGGCCATCAGAGACATGAGTTCAGGAACCATACCGGAGAGCGTGACAAAGAGGAGACGAACTACTCTGACATCCTTCCGAGCGCTCCTGCAATCATTTGTTCCCATTGCCAACACTCCCTCCGCCTGGCAAGGACCCCCCTAGCGAACTATTGATAGACTCCATGATCTTTTTCACTTGAGCCTCGAGACGTATAAGTCTACCAAAGTAAGAACGTATCCTGGAAGCGTCCTTAGCCAAGGCGACTCACCGCTCCCTCTGGTGGCTCATTTCTCGTCCTGCTGTTTTTATGACTTGTTCTAGTTGGCCACTGACTGCGCTCAACCGGTCCATGAAATCGTCCCTGTCGTCAATAAGTATTTTCCTATCTCTCTTGCAGTTATTTCTTACACGGGCAAAAAACCTGGCTGTGCATCAGGTACCTCGAGATCCGCCAGGTAGCTGGTTTCCCGTCAGTCATCGGGCAGAAGTGAGGTAGGCCCATGTAACTTGCCTCGAGTGCCCGGTTGTAGGATCTCCAACGTATTGTGCCGATAGATCAGCGATTCCAAATGTTTCAGACGGCAACGTGAGCTGTTGCATGTTCGGGATGGTGAACGGAGTATCCGTAGTCGGCGAGCTACTGGTGAGACATCGACGGTCGGTTCTTCGGGCGTCTAACGAGATGTCGGCCTGTTCAAAACCATCTACGGTAGAGGGCTGTCTTTGACATAGCGGATAATTTGCCGGCGGACGCGCCGGCCGGGACGAACATTGCGACATTTTGGTTGCAGAGCCAATGTTGGGGCAAAGATGATTGCTGTCTGAGGCGGACATGGTCAACACAGATCCAAGACGGCTCGGGGCCACTTATAGCCATCGGGACAGAAGGCATCTGTTGTCTCGCGGCCCTGATCCGGCGTTGCGGAAGGGAAGACGGCAAAAAAGTAGGGTTACGGATACTCATGTTTGCATTAATATAAAGTGGCCGGCAGGGTTTTCCATTCAGCGGAAAGACGAGACTGGCGTGATGTCGCAACGGGCTCGAAAAGATGTGTTTGACCACGCAACCACCTTAGAATCCTTTCGGTACCGCCAGACTGAGCACGATGGGTCTCGCGATCCACTCCGTCGCCGAGGCACAATCGCGGACTCATAACCTCATTGCCGACGAGGGTGTACTTTCCCGACATCCAGCTTGATATCGGCAGTCACATTCTGTTTCAGTTTCACGGTCTCTCTAGATGTGAGATACCCTGAGGCATCCATACAGGTACTCACTTCGCTGCGTGGTTGGTAGCAAGATATGAGCATTCAAACGACGTCGCCGGAAAGCCCGGGGTGTCTTTTGAAAGCCGACGTGAGGTATACAACCTAGGATGAACCGGAAGTCGGCAGTGGAACAAGGGCGAACATAAGCCTGGTTCAAGCATGGAAACCCTTTCGAGAAGTTCCCGGTCTCATGACTCGAGGCCTGGCTAGCCACTCTGTTTGGGCGGTGATCTTGCCGCGAAAGGATAAGTGCGAACGGCGGCTCTGAATTGGGGACTACTGCTCGCCCTCTGCCCCAGAGAGCCCGTGTTTGAATCTGATCCCGGCCCTTGTCATTCGCAACCGGATTTGAGCCATATTGGCATCCACTTTCAATGGCCCGTTGAACCAACAACATTACACATCTACTTGTTGGTCCAGCTCGATGGCAATGTCTTCCAAAGGGCTGCAATTCCCACAAGAATGGCCCGACCGGTTACTATAAGAAGAGTGGACAAAAACGATGCCTGTCATTTGACAGCTCTTAAGTGGATGAAAATCTTAGCCAAGGACGACCTGGCCAACCAAGGATATTTTACATGCCTAGGATCCTCCAGGCGAACCCTGACTTCCAGGGTTCTTTGCCTAGAACCAACAACGAAAAGATACTCCGCGCCGTTCTCGACCCCGCCATAGGAAATCGCGTTGATCGGCCTGCTCTCCGTAACGCCAATACTTGTTGGTTTCTGGAGTATCCGAATGAGCAATGCAGGGTGGAACTGAGTCGAAACGGCAGAGACATGACAGAAACTACCTAAATTTGCTGTTGACTAGTAGTACTTCCTGGCTTGTTCATTGTCGGTGCCCCGTTCAGTCTTGTCCACTCACTAACCTAGACCTGTCGAGCGTTTTGCATCGACAACAACGTCATTGGTGCCAGGCTCTGTTGCACCCTCCGATTTGCTCGTTCTCCTGCCATTTCCTTTTATGACTCTTTTGCCGATATCATACCCGACTACATAAGAGGCTGGACATCATGTCCGCTGGTTCACGGAAACACCGACGTGGAAAATGAGACGCTACCGACAAGCTGTTCTGGTCCAACATGCCCTGGTCAGGTTCCTCGTGCGCTGTCAAGTTCCTTCCCCCCACTGTGCTAGAACGTAACGCAATGGACACTCATGTCTACTACGATGCCAAAAGACCATCACCTTCGACGGGCCGCCGTCACGGTTCAAAAACAGCGACCAACTTTTCCTTGACAGACTACTCAAGTAGGAGCCCACGCTCTCTGCCTTGTGCGACTGACAATGTCACCAGCAAGCTTGGAGGTAAGAAAGCCTCTACCCTTCGCGGTAGGAAACGACGAAACGACTCACGCATCAAGGCTTCCGTACGGACATGTCTCTGTGCCCTCCGTCCTTCTCGCCCAAGCGTTCTCAAGTCAATCTCCCACGCCTGCCCGAATTGGACGACGTTTATCCTCCGGCTGACCCGTCAAACTCCAAACCCTCCTCACCTCATCCCATCGGATCTTGTGAAAGATTTCCCAGATCCGCCATGCTCTTCTCTGAGACCCGAAGATCCATGCCACTGGCGACGTACGGGTCCTATAACGGTCTTCCTCTCTCTGGGACGACCTCGCAATACCAGCAAGGGACCCAAGACTTTTCATTGGCCGTCGGGGGCTTTCTTCCCGACTGGCTTCCCGTAAGCCTCCACACTGGCGCAACAACTTCGCGCCGGCCCCGCCGCTCAACGAGCCGCCCCCACTGTAACGTCAGGTACACTTCGGAGCAAGTATGTTATATTGGCTACTTTCGCGACGACTGCGGCCTATCATGGAAAGAAGTTGCGGAAAAGTACGCTTCCGTCTTCCCTGGGGACGCCGAGCAGGGGCACAAACGTGGAGCCCAAGGTCTCCAAGGCATCTATTACCGCAGAAACAAGCGAATCCCCATCCATGGCGACAAGAGACAATGCGAGAGCGCTGGTATGAACTTCTTACCCCCGAGTAGCCGCAACAAGACCGATGCTGGTGAAAACGAGGACGCAGGCCGTGCGAGACGATGGCAGCATGAAGCAGCATGAAGCAGCAGCCCAACAGAGGAATGCAAGCAAGCCTGGAACAACAGCCGCGACTAGCTCTGTTAATGACTATGTCCTTGCGTCAAAAACTCGCCCTTTCCTTGCTTTACCGCATAGAACATGTCCATAGTCAGATGCGAACCGAACCTGAACATTGCCGTTCTCAAAGTAATGATGAAGCAGATAGGGCCATTGCTTGTTAGAGCGTGTGGCGAGGAGACTAGATCCCGTTATGCAGGCAAGCAGCGTAATCCTGTTTCTTGTTCGAACCTGCCACCACCTGCCTAGATTACATCATCTTGATTCATCTGGTAACAACACGACACGAACTCTTCTCTGCCTGGTGAAAAGGTTTGGTTGGGCACCGTCCGAAAGTTCCTTGTGCCAAGCGCTACTCCGCAAGATCAAATCACAGACCCTGGAAAAGGCTGGATCCAGGTCCTTATCCAAGTGAGCCCAGGCCTTGTTCGGCGTCGGTCCGTCTTTCCCCGCAGTGAACAGGGGCTATCCCAGTTTGGTGAGAAACTGCCAGGACCAGGAGTTCGTCTGAATGTGATGGCGGGAACGTCCCTCCAGTGCAGGACTCGAGACGCGATGTGGGAGACTCTTGAGGGCATCACGGATCAACCTATGAAGGGTCATCCACTGAAACAACTGCCACGGTGTACGCGGTTCACCGCGTATATCAGAAAGACAGGTGCCACGTTGGAACCAGGATGTGACTTTGAGGCGATTGAACAAGATCATCATTTTAAATTGCAT